CAAGAAAGTATCTACGATTCCTATTCAGAAGGCAGCACTTCCAATGGAACGTCCGACCGTTTGGAATATCTTCGGCTCTGTGGCTATTCACACAAGTAACCAAGCCTATAGTCACATATCTACATCATCGAGGTCTACGCAATTCCTTCTACTTGGACGACGGAATTCAGGTTCACCAAGATGCCAGTCAACTCAGACTACAGCTGAACTTCACGATCAAGTTGCTCACTCAACTAGGATGGCTGGTGAACCTAATGAAGTCAGAGTTGGAACCAAAACAAGATCTGCAATTTCTGGGGATAAGGTTTATCACAACACAGAATCGTATTGTCGTCCCAGAAGATCGTTGGGTCAAGATACAAGCCATGATTCCACTAGCAGTCATCTCTCCATTAACACTACGATCATGGCAAGTTCTACTCGGTCTACTAACCTCGGCGCAGGACTTGACTCGCACAGGAAGGTTACAACTAAGACCACTGCAACGGTTCCTGACAAAACATTTAGACAGCGTCGACACAATCTTGCTGCCAGACAACCTCAAGAGGTATCTACTGTGGTGGACACGCAGGGCGAACGTTTGCGGAGGGACCCATTTACAAGAGCCGGCCTTCGACACACATCTCTACGTAGACGCTTCGATACAAGGCTGGGGTACGCATCTCAACAATCAAGTTGCATCAGGAAGGTGGTCCAAAATAGAGCAGCATCTTCACATCTGTCTGCTGGAGATGAAAGCCATGATCAACTCCTCACAACTATGGTCGAGCTCGCTGAACAACAAAATGCTGATGGTCCACACGGACAACTCGTCAGTGGCATTCTCCATAAATCGGCAAGGATCTACAAGGTCTCCAAACCTGCTACAGCTCACATTCCAGTTGTTCCACATCACGGAGGAAGCAAACATCTGGATAAAGGTGTGTCCCATACCCGGAGCCAAGAACGTACTTGCAGACGCTCTCTCCCGACCACTGCACCCATCACCTATGGAATGGATGCTCCATCCAGAAGCATTCCGGCTCATCATAAGGGAAATAGGATCCCCTTGCATAGACCTGTTTGCCACGAGGTTCAACAAACAACTACAGACGTTTGTCTCACCAGTTCCAGATCCTCAAGCCTGGGCAACAGATGCACTGAGCATGTCTTGGGAAGGACTAAACGCTTACGCGTTTCCATCCCTGATATTACTACCGGAAGTACTGTTGAAGATCAAACAGACACAGACGCTACAACTGACTTTGGTCGCGCCATACTGGCCAGAGAAAGTATTGTTCCTAGACCTAATAGAAGATCTCAGAAGTCCAGTTACCAGATTGGCCGAACTTACTCATACATCCGCACACCAAGCAAGTCCACAGGAACCTGACAGCATTCCAGCTACAAGTGTGGACCGTATCAAAACATGTTTGAAGAAAAGAAGGGCAGCCAAGGCAGTAGCACTAGCGTTATGCAGATCTACTCGTAACCTGTATGATGACAAATGGCTGAAGTTTGAGACTTATGTAAGGCAGAAAGGCTTCATTGCGATGAAAGCTACTCATCCTCAAATGGCGGAATACCTGTGTCATCTTAGACAGACCAGACATCTGAAAGGTTCGACATTATCTACATACCTCGCCGCCATCAGTACAGTCATTACCATGAAAACAGGGATCAAGTTGGCGAAAGTACCAGAATTACTTGCTCTGCTGAGATCTTTTAAACTGGAGGACCAGCAAAAGAAGTTCAGAGCTCCAGCCTGGGATCTGAATGTAATTCTACGTCATCTTACAAGTGATGCCTACGAACCTCTAGATCAGACTACCTTCGAGCTGCTAACACAGAAGACTCTGTTCCTGCTTGCGCTAGCCACGGCAGCTCGAATATCAGAGATACATGCGCTGGACTTTGGTCAAACCAGATTTGACACGGGGCAACATGTTGCAGTTCATCTAGGACTTAGATGGGACTTCATTGCCAAGAACCAACTACTGGTCAGCCAGATAGACAGTTCTATGTACCGGCGCTAGCTACAATCCTTGGACCAGAGGATATAGAGGAGTTATCCTTGTGTCCGGTCAGAGCCCTGAAGATATATCTTCAAAAGACTAAGACAAGGAGACAAAAATTCAAACGCCTGTTCATCCCATTATCCACAGAGACATCAGCATAAGTCTCAAGAACGACAATATCGTTCTGGATGAGAGACGTCATATTGAGAGCCTATAAAGCAGCAGGACTAGAACCTCCTAGAGCTTCCAACCCACATGAAGTCAAAGCACTGGCGTCAATTGTTCTATATCTGCAATTATGGAGGGCTGCTTTTGGAAGTTGGACACGGTGTTTGCCAACCACTACCTCCGAGACATAGCCACTGAAGACGTCTCAGGCATTCACCAATTTGGGCCTCTCGTTGTAGCACAGCAATTAACGGTTCCTCAAAGGCACTGAGTTGGAAAATCACACCCTTTATCACGTTGACTTGTTGATAACTTTTACTAAGGAAAAGTATTAGTTTGAAAGTCCATGCGCACAGTCTAGGACAGACTAGCATGAGTGATTAAAGATCCTGTACAGGTAAAGATCTTACCTGTACGTGAACGGGTTGCAACTTATTTATGATAAAGATCTTATCATAATCTATGGGTTGTTATAAGATATCTAGTAATAAGAAGATACTAGTTTATCTGTAGACACATGAATCAACATGATTCAACTTGTCTGAGACTGAAGTAAGACAAGAAAGTGGTCCCCCTGAGTTATAACGGAAGTTGGAAGAATAGGATCACGAAAATGCCGTTTCGCAGTTCCCATGGAGGGGGATACAGGACGTATCTAAGGACAGCTGTTGAATCCACAAAGTGGCTTGACCCACCACCAATCCGTCGGATTCTATAAGCAAAAGATCATGAGTCAGGATAAGGAAAAATATGTAATTTTTCAAGTAAAATTGATGTTTTTATACTTATCCTGACTCATGACGAGAAGCCCCCCCAACCTCCCCGCTGGAAACACGAAAAGAAAAGGGAGATAAGCTAAAGATCAGGAGTCAGGATAAGTATAAAAATATCAATTTTACTTGAAAAATTACATCTTTCTAAGGATAATTATGATTAATCTAAGGCAGAAAACAACCGGTGTCAGTGACCTAAATTAAGAATCCTCACACCGGGCTAACTGGCGCGCTGTTCTATTGATGTGTCTGCCCCCTCTACGTTAAGGTGAACTTTACCAGAAAAATCAAACGATAAACAGTTTGATGACGGTTTATGTTCGGACTAAATATCTTCTCTAAATTATTTTAATTACATCTGTGATCAACGTAAACACTATGGGAAATATGAACGTCGCATTTCTACTATCAACGTAAGTTTAGATCATTACATCCAGATGAAGCTGAGCGGTATTCCACGATTGCATTATAGCCTATAAAAGCTGGAGAAAAATACAATTGTTCTGAAATAAATTGTTGTGGGAATGTAATCATTGCGAATGTTACCGTGTCGCTGAAAACTTGTGAGTTGAATTGAGACATTTTAAAGATCGCAAAACATAAATGTACTGTTTCCACCAGTGACGTTAGCTGCGTGAAGCAACTGCAAACCAAGGAACGGGATGCTATGGAGTACTTTACTGTAGGAGGCTGTAGGAGGCGATGACAACTGACATGCATCGTGACGTCGCTTACATTGTGACGTAATGCAAAATTGTTCGATTACGAGGGGGCAGACTAGAATGGCATTACATTGTGACATGATGCAAAAAGTGCACATTATCATCTGATAAAGCACTGTCGGCGCCTTTGATCTTTCACCCGAAGCATCTTAGAAATGACGATGCATGTGTAGCAGGGTGGTGATTATAACTTATATAAGTTAGCAACTTGTTTAAAACAGTTTAAAATAAAACAGCAATCTCACAAAACTTCCTTTCGCCATTGATGTTCAAATACTTTCTGCATACATACTGTAGAATATACTTTAAAATCTCAGTTTTACTTCACTTGGCGAAAAAGGCTGGATGGATTCTTCTGGAAATTTGAGTGTTAATATGGCTACAATCTTTAATTTATAAATATTCAAATTCAGAATCTTATTGTTTTCTTCTAGAGGTTTTAATATGGCAACAATATTTATTCAAATATAATAAAAGTGGGTATACAGTGATTGATATTGTGGGAAACTCTCCATGTCATTCAAATACAACACATGCTTTTATATTCTTTGAAAATGTATATTTATCTTGGTAAACTTTTTTTTGTCCTGAGCCAGACTGAAGGAGCCACAGTATTTAATGTATGTTTCTGCTTATGATGACTTTATGACTCTTCAAATCATTATACCATGTAAGTATAGCTCACCTTATACATTGGTGACAAATTGGACACATTGTACAATTGACATGGCTGTCAGCATTGATATTCAAATATCAATAAAAACTGCGGACCGAAAACAAATAAGTTGAAAAAAATTATCATTATAAAAAGAAATATCCATGCCAAATTTTCACTTTGGTATGCTTAGTATCTTTCTCGGCACCTTTGCCCTCTCCAGCATAGAGCTCTGTGATAGGGCTATTCCTGCATGGGGCTTGAAGGAGCATCCAGTTTCAGTTTATTTCAGAAGAATTGTATTTTTCTCCAGCTTTTCCCAACAGACTGTTTATGTAATGTAAATACATTCATTCATATTATTACTATCTAGTCATTTTCTCTTTTAACACAGCTCTTGACAATATCTTGATTGTACAGATTTGTACAATATTGTTGTTAACCATCACATTTTGACATTGTTATTTCATTTGTTGGAAAATCTTTATTGCCAAAATACTTCATCACCAGTTTTTTTTTCATAATGCAACACATACGTGGAATAAGGAAACAACTACCGACTCATCTGACATGATCTTCCCAGTGTTAAGTTATTTGTCACATGTGTTTATGTATTATCTGGGTAGTCCTGGCTAGTATTTGAGCCATTACAGTGTGTGTTTCATCAAGGTTAGTTTTGTTCCAGTGGCCCTACAGTGAGTTCATCAGTATTGTACCAAATGTGCGAGGACCCACCAACACAGAGTTCATTATAACAATGAAGAAAGGTGTGAAGAAAACAGATACAATGAAGTTTTCTACAGATCACAGAGCAGATCTTCTCACCGAGGCACTAGTAAGACTTGTGGCTTATCCCATTGATTCAGACTAAACTCACCTTAAGTACCTTGCATTACCACCTGATCAGGAGAGAAAACTTTGATTCTTTTTCAGAAGAAGTCCTCCTTGGGGTACATATAAGCATTTAAATGTCCATTTTAAATCCTACGACAGTTGTAACTATATTTTTTAATAAAATATTTACAAAACAAAAAACTCGTTTTGTCTTGTGAGACCACCCCTACAGGGCCCCACCGGACCGCCTACAGCCAAGAGCAGGTAACTCTCGCCGTCTACCTCATACCTCACTTTTCATGCTGTCGTCCTGTTGAATAGACGTGTGTGGTGTTTGTTTCGAGTTTGCTCTCCTACCGATACGATGAGTGTAAAAGAGTCTCAATCTGTATGTATGGTTCCTTTCTTTACATGGGCACAATGTGTGAAGCCCATTTCTGGTGTCCCCCGCCGTGATGTTGCTGGAATATTGCTAAAAGCGGCGTAAAACCAAACTCAGTCAGTCAGTCAGTCTGGTGTCCCCCGCCGTGATATTGCTGGAATATTGCTAAAAGCGGCGTAAAACTAAACTCAGTCAGTCAGTCAGTCCTTTCTTTACGCACGGGCGTTAGATGAACTTCATATGTTGATATTCTCATTCATCTTTTGTTGTAACTTTGCCGTGGGTTCTCTGTTTTCCAGCCTTGTGGCAGGCAAAATGGCGGACCGCGCGATCGTGGTTTCCTTGCTATATGTTCTTGGTAGCTTGTAGTCGGGAGTTCATATATAATGTTTGCATATTATATGGTAGGCTTGCCTAAATTCTCTTTCTTTTCAGCGAATTTGTGGTTAGTCGTTGTTGAGTAATTTTGATAGTGTTTCGTATCACTCAACTTTACTCTATCACTAGTATGTACACGCAGGTGTGGCTAGCCTTTTTTCTGCTTTGCATTGTATGTTTAGTATTTAAAAGGCTGTAGCTTGTAGCATTTAAATATCGCCCTTGCATGTTATTTATTGCTATTTACATGTGTTTATGTGTTTGCTGCTTCACAGTTCCTGCTAGTAACACTGGCGTGGTTCTGTTTGTTGCAGTTTAAGCCCTGTGCGTTGTGCCATGCACACTACTGCCACAGAATGGTCATAAAGTGTGCCTCCGGTGTTTAGCCGAGGACGCTCACGACGATCAAGGATGTTCATAATAAACGCCCTTGCGTCAATATTCCTGTTACGTTATGTTTTGTTATGTTACACATATACATATTTCATACGTTTACACACAACGTGGCTCATAGTGGCCGAGGTTGTGTTTTTTGTCTGTGTTTCTGCGCCTCACGCGCATTCTTTCAGGCACGCAGATTTTATGTTTTTCACTAATCTGCTTCAGGTGGGGGATAATATTTGATGAAAGGTTTCTAAGGAAATGCCTTTATCGTTCCCCCTCAAACAATGTTGCTGCCTTAAATGTTGACTCAATTGCTTCACTATTTCAGCAACATATGCTGCGACAGATGACTAATGTGAAGTCGATGATTGATAGTGCAATGTCCAGGCTCCGTCAGGAGCTCGGCTCGCAACGTGTTGATCTCGATGGTCCAGGTGTCATCCGTGAAATCCCTGATTGACACGGCGCTGTCTGGGTTCCGCAAGGAGCTCAGCACGCCTGTCGTCGGGGGTGGATCGGACGCATCTGGGGGGGGTTCGGCTGCGGCTTCGTCACAGGAGCCTGGCGCCGGTGATGCAGGTTTCACCCTGTCTTTGCCTGGTGCCCTGACTGGCGGTCGCCTCAGCGCCGACCAGCTCGGGGACACCTCGGCGCCTAGTGGTCAGTCGGGGTTGCCCGGGAAACCTGTAGGGGCAGGTTCCTCTCGGCGCCCCAGTCTGGGTTCCACTGAGCTGCCGATCACCTCAACGCTCCTAGGTCTACCCTTGTACACCAGGGGAACCCTGCATTGCCAGGCTACTCCCATGTGTCTCGGGAGCTGGTGGAAAGGGGAGACAGTGCCGCTGGTTTTTTCGTCGGCGACTCTGGGCGGCATCGGACAGAGGTCAACTCTCATCTGGCTAAGGACTGCATTGTAGCTGTGCCAGCCAAATGATGAGTGCGGTTATGGGCCTATGACGCCCGGGACTGTTTCGAGGAATACGGAAGTCTGTCAAGCTTCTCGTTAATTCCCCAGGTGCCCAGGCACCGGCAAACGTTAAGTTGCCGACTGCTGGGGTTTACTGTATTCTGCCACAAACCCCGGTCGGAGCGACACACACCAGTGTCGGCTTCCCGGGAGACGGCAAAAATACTCCGTGCCGAGATCCAGTCTCTGCTGGGCAAGGCAACCAGCGTGGTGGTTTCCAATGGTCAGGAAAATGTGGGGTTTGACTCCATTTATTTCCTCGTTGCCATTAAGAACGGAATGTTCAGACTCATTCTCATCTGAGAGCTGAACAAGTTAATAGAGGTACTGTCCTTCAAGATGGAGACACAGCGCTCGGTGATCTCATCTGTCGAGACAGGGGATTGGCGCACGTCAATCGACCTCGAGGTCGTGTACCTCCTTGTTCCATTGCACCCTGATTTCAAAATTTTCCTTCGGTTCTTGTTTGACGGGACGTGCTACTAGTTTCGTGTGCTCCCCTTAGGCTACATTACGGCGCCAAGGGTGTTCACCAAATTGAGGTTTATTACAGTTCAGATAGCCAGTTCGCAGTGCCGGTGTTGTCACCCGTACCTAGGCGACTGGCTCATCGTGGTTTTAGAATAACTGTTGAGTCTGGGGACCTCACGATCAGTGTTGGTCACTCTTACGAAACTGGGCGGAATTGTCAACCTCACGCAGTCAGATGGACAGACGTCAGGCGTCTCTCCGAGGGGCTCCCCCTGGAGACACCGTCGCTCTCAGTCCAGCCAGATACATCCCTACCGGGTTAGGGCGATGTTCTGGGCGACCTGCAGTCTCTTGACGACGAAGTCACAACCTGCACATCAATGTGCTGGAATTGACAGCAGTCAGGTTGGTGTTCGATCCCGCATGCCGGGATTCGAATTACCTTTTCGGCCAGACATTCTCACTCTGAACGGGGCGCCACACCCGAATCCTCGGATTCACTGGGTGGCTTGGCCTCTGTCGGGTCTAACCCCCAGACACGCGGAATTCCTGCAACCGCTGCAGACACAATTCTGGCTTCGAGGCGGGATTCCACACCCGTTCAGTGTGTTGATAGGTGGGGGGCGCTGGTGTGCAGATAGGGGGATTTCATAATCCCTATTCTGCGGATTTAGTTCAGATATTGGAGTTACTATAACCTCATTTTGGTTGAGAGCCTTATGGCCTCCACCATTCCCGGGTACTCCATGGCTATTCCCACGTTTCACACCTCGGTCGATGGTGCTCTGCCTAGGCAGCACCCTCTCGTACATCGCTTCGTAGCTGGCATGATCAGGGTTCAACCGCCTCGGCGGCGACCCAGCCCACCTTAAAATTGCCAATTATTCTCAATTGGCAGTCTGGCCCTGACTTTTCAAGTATATCGTCTCTCTCACTTCACTTGTTGACGTGGAAGACGGCTTTACTTGTTGTAGTGAGCTCTGGTAGAAGGGTCGGGTACACCCATGCGATACCCACTGACCCGACACTGACAGTATTTTATACTGATCATGTCCGTATTCGCCTCCCGGATACCTACCACTCTCAGTTCGATATTGCTTTCCACGTGACTGCTCATATCGAACTTCCACCCCTTACCCAGCCTTCCACACCGGGGACCAATCTTTCGATTGCTCACCCGTGACTGTAACGAACGAACAAAGGGATCTGTACGGGTACCCATGTGTTCTATTTGGTGGCGGGAAGACTGGGGAGTCTGCTAGCAAGTGAACTTTATCTCGTTGGCTTGTTTATGTAATTGTTTGGTTACAATGCTAAGGTTTACCTTCCCCGAGGGGTTGAAGGCAGACTGGGTAGGGCAGATGCCGCTTTGTTGGCAATACACAGCGGCACTGCTCAATGAAAAGATCAATTCTGTCGCTCTTTGGAGCCGGCAGAACACCTTCATTCGCCATTACCGACTTGACACTCATTCTAAGGATCGTGCTAGGTTCGGTCTTTCGGTTCTCTCCAGTGGAGAGTGTCCTGCCACCCTGACCAAGTTAGTAACTGGTCATTGGTATCGGTTCTGTTTTCAATGTCGATATGGTTCATATCACTACATTGTATTAGCCTTACCACCCTTGCGGGTTGGGTCGGGTTTGGGTGTACATACGTCCCTTACGTCCTCTTCAAGAGGGCGGGGTCCGTTTTGAACGCTTCATATACTATTAACCCGTCTTGCGAAGGAATTGGGTATGAACCCCCCACGGGGCACTGTTTGGTATGCCTCTCTTCGAGCCGCATGTCACGTGACCAGGTTAGTGTAATGGTGAGCCAACACATGTTCGGCTACGCTTTTCGCTATTCAGGGGATTTTTGTACGCTTACAGTTTTTTCCCTCTTCCCAAGACTTCGGTATTTGGGAGTCTGTGTTAATCAGCTTTGTGGGATTGTGATCTACACTTACCCTCCTCACGCCGAGAGTGTTTGGTGGGGGTGTTTTATCCTGTTTTTCACTCGTACAATACATGGCCTTTGTACTCGTTCGATTTCCTCAGAAAGTTTTTAGCGAGGCTAATAATTTCTCTGGGTTTTATTGAGGTCTCGGCAAGCCCTCTTCCAAACAGGAGGGGTGCATTCGAGCATTAGTTTGGCAGTACTTATTAGCTCGACTCCTGGGTTATTGGCTTTTTAGCGTTTAAATTTTTACACTTTCCCTACCCTTATACCTCTCGCCACGCTTCTCTGGCTGGGGCTATATTAGGGTTGGGAGTTGTTTCGGCATGTCCCCATACATTCCTTTCCATTGTAATGGTTGGGGGTGGGGTTTTATGTCATAATTGATTTGAGCCAATTGACCTGTAAGCTTGGGCTCTCTAGTTCACGCCCCCGTCTGATTGACATCAGCGGTCAGGTGGCTCGGTAAGTGTTTTTTCTATTTCCGTATCGGTTGTAGATTTCACTCCACCACAGGTTTAGTTGTTGCCAGACAGAATGCCACTCCCGTTTCAAATATCTTTGGGAGTCTGTCATATGCTTATATGTACCCCAAGGAGGACTTCTTCTGAAAAAGAATTATACAAACCTGTAGAGGTTATGAATTCTTTGAAGAAAGTCCTCCTTGGGGTACGGCCACCCGCCTCCCCTCATTCTGTCTGACACGTTCAGCATGAAAAGTGAGGTACGAGGTAGACGGCGAGAGTTACCTGCTCTTGGCTGTAGGGGGTCCGGTGGGGCCCTGTAGGGGTGGTCTCACAAGACAAAACAAGTTTTTTGTTTTGTAAATATTTTATTAGAAAATATTGTTACAACTGTTGTAGGATTTAAAATGGACATTTAAATGCTTATATGTACCCCAAGAAGGAATTTCTTCAAAGAATTCATAACCTCTACAGGTTTGTATAAATAGAATGTGTTTGCGTTGAAAGATGACAAGGTTATAAATTGATATGCTGAATATTTCTTTACAGTTATCATTTGAAAGTTCAGGTGGACTTAGGTCTTATTGGCAAAGAAACATCTCATGTTGTCGGTTTTTTATGAGTACGAAATTATTTTTGTTGAAATTCAGTCCATATTTCGATTCGTGGTTGCAGCTTTCAGAAATGAAAGTGGTATGATTTCACTTCTATCAGCTCTGCTTGATAAACATTCAGTAATTGTATATACCTGTAACTGGGAGAGTCCATTATAAAACACAGAACACCATTCATTCACGATACTTACACGACATGACAGGACATACAGTGGAGAGAGGTGTTGACATGATTTGACATACAAGACAGAGAGTTGACACATGATGTAGGACACAAAATGTGACATAACCTTGTTTTGTGGATTACGTAGTCGGTTACTGTATATATCACTAAGTATGACAGCCAACTGCAATAAGTATTAACACCTAGGAAAGCAGACGATGAGATGTGAAAAGGTTGGTGCTAACGGTATCTTTTTTACTTGACATTTTGGTATTAGTGGCATTTAGAGGTGTGAAGATACAGAAATTTCACGATACGATACGTATTGCGATATCTTGGAACGATATGATGCATATCACGATATGCTATCTTTAGTTATTTTCTTTAAAAAGGTGTATTTTGATAACAAGTAACAATGTAAATTTTGACATAACCATCAATTTCTAGTGAAAATTCACAATTTTAAGGTCAACGGTACATATTACGATACGAAAAAAAGTATCGATATATTTATTGTCAGAAAAAGCATCACGATTATCAATACTACGATATATCGTCACAGCTCTAGTGGCATTAGTGATCTTGGGACCTTTTTCTCAGTGTTGGACAATTAGATTTAGTGTATTTACGTGTAATGCAGAGATTAAGAACAGTTTTGTCAGGGAGGCGTGGCATTGTGTGTACATCAAAAGAACCGCTGCGTGGCGTCGTACAAGACTTAATTTACGAGACAGCATGAAAATTACTGTGATTTGCGAATCAAGGTTATCCACGAATTTAGGTTACGGTTCTGTACCTTCTTTATGTTGCAAATAAAGGTTAACAAAAAAATAACTGGAAATAATTTTCTGAACTTTCTCGAGTAAATAAATATCCTTTGTTTTGCAGAGATTCAGAAATCAGTTTGCAGATGAAAACCAAAAGATTAAGGTAATTGTGAAAAGACACATGAATATCACCAGCATATTTAGCTTTAATAACTATACCTACCTTGCCCTCTACAGGTATAGTGTACCTGCCTTGTCCTGTACAGGTATGGTGTACCTACCTTGTCCTGTACAGGTATGGTGTACCTACCTTGCCCTCTACAGGTGTGGTGTACCTACCTTGTCCTGTACAGGTATGGTGTACCTACCTTGCCCTCTACAGGTATGGTGTACCTACCTTGTCCTCTACAGGTATAGTGTACCTACCTTGTCCTGTACAGGTATGGTGTACCTACCTTGCCCTCTACAGGTATGGTGTACCTACCTTGTCCTGTACAGGTGTGGTGTACCTACCTTGTCCTGCTGCTGTACAGGTATGGTGTACCTACCTTGTCCTGTACAGGTATGGTGTACCTACCTTGTCCTGTACAGGCATGGTGTACCTACCTTGCCCTCTACAGGTATGGTGTACCTACCTTGTCCTGTACAGGTGTGGTGTACCTACCTTGTCCTGTACAGGTGTGGTGTACCTACCTTGTCCTGTACAGGTATGGTATACCTACCTTGTCCTGCTGCTATACAGGTATGGTGTACCTACCTTGACCTGTACAGGCATGGTGTACCTACCTTGTCGTCTACAGGTATGGTGTACTTACCTTGTCCAGCTGTTGTACAGGTATAGTGTACCTACCTTGTCCTGCTGCTGTACAGGTATGGTGTACCTACCTTGTCCTCTACAGGTGTTAAGTACCTACCTTGTCCTCTACAGGTGTGGTGTACCTACCGTGTCCTGCTTCTGTACAGGCATGGTGTACCTACGTTGTCCTGCTGCTGTACAGGTATGGTGTACCTACCTTGTCCTCTACAGGTATGGTGTACCTACCGTGTCCTGCTTCTGTACAGGCATGGTGTACCTACCTTGTCCTGCTGCTGTACAGGCATGGTGTACCTACCTTGTCTTGCTGCTGTACAGGTATGGTGTACCTACCTTGTGCTGCTGCTGTACAGGTATGGTGTACCTACCTTGTCCTGCTGCTGTACAGGTATGGTGTACCTACCTTGTCCTGCTGATGTACAGGTATGGTGTACCTACCTTGTCCTGTACAGGTATGGTGTACCTACCTTGTACTGTACAGGTGTGGTGTACCTACCTTGTCCTGTACAGGTGTAGTGTACCTACCTTGTCCTGCTTCTGTACAGGTATGGTGTACCTACCTTGTCCTGCTGCTGTACAGGTATGGTGTACCTACCTTGTCCTGCTGCTGTACAGGTATGGTGTACCTACCTTGTCCTGCTGCTGTACAGGTATGGTGTACCTACCTTGTCCTGCTGCTGTACAGGTAAGGTGTACCTACCTTGTCCTGCTGCTGTACAGGTATGGTGTACCTACCTTGTCCTCTACAAGTATGGTGTACCTACCTTGTCCTGCTGCTGTACAGGTATGGTGTACCTACCTTGTCCTGCTGCTGTACAGGTATGGTGTACCTACCTTGTCCTCTACAAGTATGGTGTACCTACCTTGTCCTGCTGCTGTACAGGTGTAGTGTACCTACCTTGTCCTGCTGCTGTACAGGTATGGTGTACCTACCTTGTCCTGCTGCTGTACAGGTAAGGTGTACCTACCTTGTCCTGCTTCTGTACAGGTATGGTGTACCTACCTTGTCCTGCTTCTGTACAGGTGTGGTGTACCTACCTTGTCCTGCTGCTGTACAGGTAAGGTGTACCTACCTTGTCCTGCTGCTGTACAGGTATGGTGTACCTACCTTGTCCTGCTGTACAGGTATGGTGTACCTACCTTGTCCTGCTGCTGTACAGGTATGGTGTACCTACCTTGTCCTGCTGCTGTACAGGTATGGTGTACCTACCTTGTCCTCTACAGGTATGGTGTACCTACCTTGTCCTGCTGCTGTACAGGTATGGTGTACCTACCTTGTCCTGCTGCTGTACAGGTATGGTGTACCTACCTTGTCCTGCTGCTGTACAGGTGTGGTGTACCTACCTTGTCCTGCTGCTGTACAGGTATGGTGTACCTACCTTGTCCTGCTGCTGTACAGGTATGGTGTACCTACCTTGTCCTGCTGCTGTACAGGTACCTTGTCCTGCCTGCTGCTGTACAGGTATGGTGTACCTACCTTGTCCTGCTGCTGTACAGGTATGGTGTACCTACCTTGTCCTGCTGCTGTACAGGTATGGTGTACCTACCTTGTCCTGCTGCTGTACAGGTATGGTGTACCTACCTTGTCCTGCTGCTGTACAGGTATGGTGTACCTACCTTGTCCTGCTGCTGTACAGGTGTGGTGTATACCTTGTGTGCTGCTGCTGTACAGGTGTGGTGTGCCTACCTTGTCCCGCTTGCTGTACAGGTATGTAGTGTACCTACCTTGTCCTGCTGCTGTACAGGTATGGTGTACCTACCTTGTCCTGCTGCTGTACAGGTATGGTGTACCTACCTTGTCCTGCTGCTGTACAGGTATGGTGTACCTACCTTGTCCTGCTGCTGTACAGGTATGGTGTACCTACCTTGTCCTGCTGCTGTACAGGTATGGTGTACCTACCTTGTCCTGCTGCTGTATAGGTATGGTGTACCTACCTTGTCCTGCTGTACAGGTATGGTGTACCTACCTTGTCCTGTACAGGTATGGTGTACTTATCTTGTCCTGTACAGGTATGGTGTACCTACCTTGTACTGTACATGTGTGGTGTACCTACCTTGTCCTGCTGCTGTACAGGTATGGTGTACCTACCTTGTCCTGTACAGGTATGGTGTACTTATCTTGTCCTGTACAGGTATGGTGTACCTACCTTGTACTGTACAGGTGTGGTGTACCTACCTTGTCCTGCTCCTGTACAGGTAAGGTGTACCTACCTTGTCCTGCTTCTGTACAGGCATGGTATACCAACCTTCTCCTCTACAGTTGTGGTGTACCTACCTAGTCCTCTACAGTTGTGGTGTACCTACCTTGTCCTCTACAGGTATGGTGTACCTACCTTGTCCTGCTGCTGTACAGGTATGGTGTACCTACCTTGTCCTCTACAAGTATGGTGTACCTACCTTGTCCTGCTGCTGTACAGGCATGGTGTACCTACCTTGTCCTGCTGCTGTACAGGTATGGTGTACCTACCTTGTCCTGCTGCTGTACAGGTATGGTGTACTTATCTTGTCCTCTACAAATATGGTGTACCTACCTTTTTATGCTGCTGTACAGGTATGGTGTACCTACCTTGTCCTGTACAGGTATGGTGTACCTACCTTGTCCTCCTGCTGTACAGGTGAGGTGTACCTACCTTGTCCTGTACAGTTCTGATGCACCTACCTTGTCCTGTTCAAGCATGGTGTACCTACTTACAGCTTTATGTTTGTATTCTGACTGATGGAAATGTGATTATAGTACAATACAGGTGAAAATAAGAATGTCACAAACTATGTCACTTGGTGTGTAAAGTCCTACCATGGAACAGAGATGAATGAATGTTTGGCAGACGCTGTGGTGTATTCTTATCATATGTTTGTCTATTTCCAGAGATTCAATGCCTTTAAGCACCATTGGTCTGATGTTCAAGTACCTGTCATCTTGGAGGTGAACCAGGGATCACTTGATCAGATCCACCCAGCCACAAACCAAGTCCTGGCATCATATGATTATAACAACATTGAAGGACTAGCTCAGGTTCATATGCTTTGTACACTTTTAGTCAGAGTAGAAAGATAATTGTTTTCAACAGTTAACGCAATAAATCCAAAGAAAGAAGAAGCTGTTCGATGCAGTCAGTCTTATTCTTGTAGAAACTGGATAAGCAGGACATGGTTATCCACTAGATGATTTTGTTGCAACTGTGTTCTTTTTTCACATTATTCTGGGTGGGATAACTGAAATTAAGACTGACTGACTGAGTTTGGTTTTACGCCGCTTTTAGCAATATTCCATCAACATCACGGCGGCTGAAATTAAGAAGATATCAATACTTTGTGAAGAGAATATTGCCTTGATCTCTGAGTTATTACGTGAGAAAGACTATTATTATGCACACACTTCCCAGCAGTACAAACACGGTATTCAAAGCAGAGCCTCACTCACATTGATTCACAACTGCTATAATAGTTCGTCATTACTTAGAGTGAAAAGTACTGTCAAAAGTATGTTGATTCCCAAGTTGATCCAGAATTTGGTATGAAACCAACAAACGACAAGGGAGTGTGATGTAATTAACAATTGTATTCTAAACTTGTCAAAGTTCACAAATCAATACAATGTTTCTAAATCTAGCACAAGACTAAATATAGCATACCACTGTCCCTATCAGGTACAGTGTGTAACAGTGAGAGCATTGTTCAACTCTATTCCCATGTCCAAAGGTATATTTGTAAATTGTGCTAACTTTAAGACAATTTCTAAGGTGTTGACATGTTTGTTCAAGAGCCTTATAGCGGCACTGGATCCTGACCTGAATTGTATGAAACAAGTTGAAATCTTTGTTCAATAATTAAGGAGGATTTCAAATTTCAAAACATATCCTATCTCACGTTGTGCACCGTTGCCGTGAGCTTCGACCTTCAACAAAAGATTCCAGCATTTAGTGCCACCTCATCCGAGTATACCCCAGCTTTATCTATTGTTGTAGGCAGTCATGCAAGCCCATGCAACGTGTGCATCTTGCCTTGGCTGATCACATTATTCCCTACTAAAGTCACTCTCTTTCTTGTCGCAGTGGAATAAAGACAAACTTTTTTTCCATTAGGTAATACAAAGTCTCTATGGACTTTTTGTTATTTTATATGATATTTGTCTGTGAATTTCTTAACAAAGTACAATCAGAATGAGAAAGGAAGAGAAATCCAGGAAAAGGAAAGTCAGTGCTTCATGTAACTGGACAGTGCAGGACCCTCACTGTGCATATAGTAGATGTTGCAAAGCACTGGATGAAGACGAATTCACCAGTTACCAATGAGCATATTCTCAGAGACACAAAGACAGGGAATCCAAAAGTGATTTTGATGGGTTTGGCCAGTAGTATATTTTTAGTCAGGATGAGTATAAAATGATATATTTTTAGTCAGGATGAGTATAAAATGATATATTTTTAGTCAGGATGAGTATAAAATTATATATTTTTAAACTTATCCTATCTCATGTATTGTACTGTCTCTCTCTTATGTCGAACATAAGAAAGTTTTGCCATTGACAAAGCTTACATACTAAGATCACAAAGTCATTGCAGAGCTCATTTACCGTGAACCTTTCTCTGTTGTCATCACTGAATTTGTTGTTGACAGGACGACTGCTTTATGTTTCTGATCAGGTGTCGGATGTTCCCGGGGGTGTAGCTGTCATATATGGTGGATTCAGCAGGCTGGTAAGTAAATATTTCAGTATGAATCAATGTGTTTGAAAGACAGTATTGTATGTACTGTGAGAGAGATTACCATGGTTAGGATTGACAATAAATATCCAGAAGCATTGAATGTAATAGCCAAGCTAATTTGCTTACCTACATGGGTAACATTTATTTTATCCACAAACATCACAATTAGAATTTGAACTCAAACTTCAAATTGAAACGCCTGATCCAAACTCTGTTCATGATGCATATGCCCAAAGGCTTCATGTTTATTTAATTCACTGTGTGATCACGATATGTGGTTTTACTCCACGCTACATAAAGATTAAGAGAACCTGGATGAGCTTGCCATTTGCTGAGTATCTGGCTTTTCCACTACACCACCTTCCCAAAACCATTTCTTTGCAGCCAGACCTACATTGTTACAAGTCATGAACTTTTATTGCCTTGGATCCATTTTTCATGTAGATTAACATATTTTTTACACCAAACAACAGTACATCAATTGTTTTCCAAATGGATCCATATTCAGCCTGGTAACACATGCCTTTCTACAGTTTAACAATGACTGATGATGAGTCTGTCACCTTGGACGCATAGGTGGAGAAACTTGCTCTAACTTTGTATCCAGGATGTCCCTCTTCTGATAAGAGAGAGGAGGCTCGTATGATGGCAGTGTGTGAAATAAGCCAAAAATCCAGCCAGACTTCAGGGCTGGTAACTTCAAAATGTTACCAGCCCAAAAGGGATTTGACCAGACCAAATATGTTGAATTTACTCAGATGTATGGAACATCTAAACAAAATTTACCAGTCCATCGGGCTGGCTAGCTGTAAATTTAGACCGTCCGTCAGAAACCTAGACTGTCTCAGGCGGTCGGACGGGCCTTATTTCATACACTGATGATGGTCCTTTCTCACTCTTTTTAGTTTGACACAAGCAATTGTTACATTGTCTTCTATTCTCAGTGGTTGTTCCCGTTCCATGATAAAGGGTAACAGACCCTCAAACTATCCTAAAATCATAAACATACTGTCTGCCTCTGCAGAAATGCCTGCTAATTGTTAATTACATTCCTCTAACACTTGATTGCCTATTTACCTGAAACTTGTTCACTTGTTACAATCTTGGTGTAACGGTTGGGTTATTTTCTTTTTAGTAATTAGGCTTGTATTCAGGGTTTGGACAGGGTTAGGCTAGGCTAAAAAAATACATCAGGCTTAGGCTTCTGTGGGCTGGTTGATTTAGCTTCTGAGGGGTAAGGACCCACTAGACATGTGCCTAGTATGCTTCTCCCCATTGATATGCAATGGGATGGACCAGTGCTGGAGCATCTCATGAGCATTTGGATGTCCCATGCAAATACACACAGATCAAGGGAGAAAATTTGAATCACTCCTGTTTTCTGAAATGTGTTCCAAATTGGGCATAGAAAAAGCTCATACAACTCCATATCGACTGCAATCAGATGGATTAGTTGAACGGTTTAACAGAACCCTGAAGCAAATGTTAAGTTCGTTTGCTAATAGCCACCAAAATAACTGGGGTGATCATCTTCCTCAAGTTCTAATGGCGTATAGATCTTCAGTTCATGAAAGTACTGGATGTTCTCCATACCTCCTTTTATTTGGACATGAAATATCTTGCCCTCTGGACATTATGGTGGGAAAACCACCTCTGTCGCAACCGACTTGTGTCCTGTTGCTTATTTTCATTGGCTACAGCACAACATGAATCACTGCTTTTCTTTTACGCAACAGCATTTGGAAGTCGCTGCCTCCAGACAAAAGAAATACTATGATCGAAGTTTAAAACATTGAAGTTTTCCTGCTGATGACTTTGTTTGGAGATGGCAGTTACCTACTGCCGATCGCCCTTTATCATTAGGATGGATAGGACCATACAAGATTATTAGGAAGGTACAGAGAAGTACAATTGCAAAGCCTATCGTTATACATGTAGATCACTTGAAGGCATATGAAGGGAGGACAACTCCTGATGCTTGGCTTGATGAACCTGCAAGTGATAGCTCAGCTGATGGATCCAGTAGTGTGTGCTCTCAACATGAACATCATGTGGAAACTGGTCTTGAGGATATTGATGTGGATGTTGAGGAAGTTAAACGAACATGTTGGGTGGACATACTGTCAGGCCACGCCAAAGATACTCTCCTTAAAATTTTCATCAGGCTAATTTAGGGCAATGCTTGTATCTGGATAGACCAGGTGTGAGGAGGAAGGGTTGCATAAATGAGTTCACTGAGAGTAACCATGGCCATGGTTCCGTAGGTGGCTCAACATAAGCAATCATGAAGAAAAACTGAAACAGGTTTCATAAGGGCTATAGCATTATAGAACTTAGTGTTCAGAATAAGAAATGCCTATGACATTCTTGTGTTAAGTTCATCCCTTCTGTACAGATGAGCGACATCTTAGATATTTGTGTAACTCAAGCAGAGCTTGATGAGCTTGAAGAGGACCATGACTCCTGACCATGTGAATTTTGTAATTCTGGCACATTTTCATCAGCAAGGGCCCAGAGGCGCCACGTGAAGAAGTAACATTCAACTTTTGTTCAACTGTTCTCATGCGTAGCATGTGGAAGAAGATTTCGGTCGAGGACAGACCTCATCACCTGAGGCTAAAACACAAAATCCAGGCGAAGGAAAAGGAAACACCAGAGGTGGAAGTCAACTGCCACTTGACACCGAGGGAATTGGCCCAACAATCGAGGGAATTCATTGTGCGGATGGCACGGGAGCAGCTTTTAATGCCTATGTCTGGTCCAGGGACACCAAGGGACACTGAAGTCAGACCTCTGTACGATGGAACTGATAGGTGTATCAGTATTGTGAGAAGGATGCCACCTCTGCCTCCCCTTGTTCAGCCCTATGCCCAGGACTACATCATACCTGAATTTGAACAGTGGACATGGTGAATAATGAAAAGAGATTAGAATTATTTTATCAATCCCATTTCTATTTTTTGTCTTTTCAAAGATCTTAAGAAAGGTCAAATGTAATGGTAGAGTTATTTTCCTTGTAGAAATTAGGCTTGTATTCAGGGTTGGGTAGGGTTAGGCAAGGCCTAGGCTAGGCTAGGCTTAAAAAATACATCAGGCTTAGGCTTCTGTGGGCTGGTCTGTTTAGCTCTTGAGGGATAAGGACCCACTAGGCATGTGCCTAGTATGAATCTCCCCATTGATATGCAATGGGATGGACCAGTGCAGGAGCATCTCATGAGCAGATGGATTAGCCTATTGAACCTTTCTTTTGTAGGCATTTATTGAGTAATTTTTAGAGCATGATTTTCATTGGTTTAGAGTTGTAGGTAAGGGTATAAAAGGGCAGATTATTTTTCACTCTGGAGTCTTACAGAGGCTACAAAGGTGAGAAATTCATTGTTGTATCTGTAGACTAGGCAAGCAGAGTTTTAAGTTTCTTTCAGTTTTAGTTTAAAGAAGAAATAAAATTTGGGTTAGATAATTTTAGGTAGTTAATTTTTTATATTTTTCCTTATCCTGACTCATGCTCTTTTGCTTGTCTCCTTCATCTTGCGAACGTTAGTGGAACACTTATATCTCCTATTGAAGCTCCCTTCAATAAAAACAGACGTAAAATCCCTACTCACCACGAGTTATCTGTGTGGCCGTTTTGGTGGGAAAGCGGCGCCACCATACTCCCATGCTTCACTCTCTCCTTCTTCGCCCTGTGGGCAGGTTGTGAGAGCGCCTGTGTCTCCTATACGGCACTATATCCTTTAATTACTTAGTTATTCTCCTCTATTCTACTTTTATAGAGGTTTAGTTAGTATTCTTCAACAATATGGTTTGATATTTAATCGTATTTTGCACTGTTTATTCACGGAATTGTCCGTGTTTGTTCAGTTGTTTACATTTCATGAAAACCTATTTTCGTTGTAGATTTAGGTTCGCTGCTGCAAACCCGCATTGACTGTGCCCTAGCTGCACAACAACATGTACTTCCAGCTATAGCTGTAATCTTTATCAGCATTTAACAGAAATTCAATTTAATAAATAATTTTTCTCTGTACTTAGACGTACTACCGACAAATCCAGGTGACTTTACAAGTCATGGATAAACTGGCTGAGTCCCTCACGAGCTGTCTACTGCTGTCAGACAACTTACTACCATCAAGTGACCTGCCGGAGGTGTCTTGGAGGATGGGCGTGGGATGTTGTCCGCCTTTACTTCGAAGACGTGGGCTACTACATCGGACAACCCCTCAATGCAGACGTAGAAGAAGAAGCCATCCTCTACGCAGAATGAAGCCTCACACCCCTACAACGCCTAGCAGCTCTACGGGGACTCCTGCGCAGACTACAGGGGCCTTTCGGCAGACATCGTCCCGATAGCAGTGAGATGACTTCATGATGAGCCGCTGCTGATCATCCCAGAGATACAGCACGCAGTCCGAGGGCGGCAGATGAGCGATCCCTGGACCATATCGCTATCAACGCAGAGAGGGCAGCTCTACAATCATCGCAGACGAAGAAAAAGAAGCTCTACGGGGACGTCTGTGCAGACTACAAGGACTTTCTCAGCCGAGATTGTCCCGATGATGGAAAGAGGACTCTATGATGAGCCGCCACTCATCATCCCCGAGATACATCACCAGTAGAAGCGGGCCTCAGCAACGGTAACGTCAGCGCAGTTGTCTACGCAGTCCGAAGTATCTACACTGACGGCAGATGAGAGATCCCTGGGCCATATCGCTACCAACTCAGAGAGGGCAGCTCATCTCTCACCGCAGACATTCAACCCGGGGGACTTCATGCAGCCCTGGAGATGATGGAGAGGCGCTTCACACTGATCAACAACCAGCCTGCAGAAGGGACCCGGACCTTCGCGAAGGTTCCAACGCAGACGATGCTTCAGAGAGGCCCTCCAGCTACGTGACGACCGGGTCGTCAACCAGCCTGCGCGAAGGACGACACGCCTATCCCCAGATGCCGAATCAGATGATTAGCAATCGTGAAGGCACTCGAGAAGGACG